CAACTGGCATTGTGGTGAAGGTTAGAGTTGAGTATCCTCATTCCGTTTCCTTCCAAGTGTGAAGTTCGTGCTGTATGAGGGATATCCGGAGAGTAAGGTTAACAGGGATGTAGCTCTCATCGGGAATTTTCACAAGGGAATTTGGTATCACTGCATGTAGTGGGAAACCAGTGGAAGTGAACGAGCAGTGCCAGTCGTCAGCATCTCATCAACTGGCGTTGTGGTGAAGGTTAGAGTTGAGTATCCTCATTCCGTTTCCCTCCAAGTGCGAAGTTCGCATTGTACGAGGAATATCCGGAAAGTAAGGTTAACAGGCATGTAGCTCTTGTAGAGAATTTTCACGGGGGAAGTTGGTATCACTGCATGTAGTGGGAAACCAGCAGAAGTGAACGAGCAGTGCCAGTCGTCAGCATCTCATCAACTGGCGTTGTGGTGAAGGTTAGAGTTTAGCGTCCTCATTCCGTTTCCTTCCAAGTGCGAAGTTCGTGCTGTGCGAGGGATATCCGGAAAGTAAGGTTATAAGGCATGTAGCTCTCATGAGAATTTTCACGGGGGAAGTTGGTATCACTGCATGTAGCGAGAAACCAGCAGAAGTGAATGAGCAGTGCCAGTCATCAGTAGCTCATCAACTGGCATTGTAGTGATGGTTAGAGATGAGTGCCTTCATTCCGTTTCCTTCCAAGTGTGAAGTTCGTGCTGTATGAGGGACATCCGGAGAGTAAGGTTACAAGGGATGTAGCTCTCATCGGGAATTTTCACAAGGGAATTTGGTATCACTGCATGTAGTGGGAAACCAGTGGAAGTGAACGAGCAATGCCAGTTGTCAGCAGCTCATCAACTGGCATTGTGGTGAAGGTTAGAGTTGAGCATCCTCATTCTGTTTCCCTCCAAGTGTGAAGTTCGCATAATAAGAAGGATATCCAGAAACGAAGGTTACAAGGCATGTAGCTCTCATCGGGAATTTTCACGGGGGAAGTTGGTATCACTGCATGTAGTGGGAAGCCAGTGGAAGTGAACGAGCAGTGCTAGTTTTCAGCAGTGAAGTTCACATTGTACGAGGAATATCCGGAAAGTAAGGTTATAAGGCATGTAGCTTTCGCGAGAATTTTCACGGGGGAAGTTGGTATAACTGCATTTAGCGGGAAACCAGTGGAAGTCAATGAGCAGTGCCAGTCGTCAGTAGCTCATCCACTGGCGTTGTGGTGATGGTTAGAGATGAGCGCCTTCATTTCGTTTCTTTCCAAGTGCTAAGTTCGTGCTGTACGAGGGATATCCAGAAAGTAAGTTTACTAGAAGCGTAGCTCTTGTGGGGAATTTTCACAGGGGAAGTTGGTATCCCTGCCATATAGTGGGAAGCCAGCAGAAGCGAACGAGCAGTGCCAGTCATCAGTTGCTCAACGACTGGCGTTGTGGTGAAGGTTAGAGATGAGCGTCTTCATTCCATTTCCTTCCAAGTGAGAAGTTTGTGCTGTACAAGGGATATCCGGAAAGTAAGGTTACAAGGGATGTAACTCTCTTTGGGAATTTTCACAGGGGAAGTTGGTATCCCTGCTGTGTAGCGGGACGCCAGTGGAAGCGAACGAGCAGTGCCAGTCGTCACTTGCTCAACGACTGGCGTTGTGGTGATGGTTAGAGATGAGCATCTTCATTCTGTTTCCTTCCAAGTGCGAAGTTCGTGCTGTATGAGGGATATCTGGAAAGTAAGTTTACTAGAAGCGTAGCTCTTGTGGGGAATTTTCATAGGGGAAGTTGGTATCCCTGCCATATAGTGGGAAGCCAGCAGAAGCGAACGAGCAGTGCCAGTCGTCAGTTGCTCAACGACTGGTGTTGTGGTGATGGTTAGAGATGAGCATCTTCATTCCGTTTCCTTCCAAGTGCGAAGTTCGTGCTGTATGAGGGATATCCGGAAAGTAAGGTTATAAGGCACATAACCCTGGACCTTTACTTTCCGGATATCCCTCGTATAATGGCTACAAATCTATCTCCAATATTCACTTCTTGAAAAATCTGTATCAATATGGTTGCGAGCTTTCATTGCATTGAGGGATGTTATGGCTGCTGGACAAGCGAGACCAGAGTGTGTCCGCAAAGGCTTTTCTGTGTTTATATCTAACCGCAAGGGAATTATGGTAAAAATAATGCTGTTCTCTGCTCCTTATGCTCACCGGGCAATGAAAGCGAAGCCTGGGAGCATCCAGTTTTCTTCTTTTTCTTCAGGGCAGAAATGCAAAGCCTTAGCTGAGAGATAAATCCCTTTATATAACATCTCAACACAAAGCAAAGGGATCCATTTCTCTGCAGAGTACCTTTGGGGAGTAGGTGTGCAGTGACGCGGGATTGTGCCCACGTTCCTTGGGTCCCATGGCAACGCATGGCGCCCGGAGCGGAGAAGAAATGTCACGCAGATCCACCCATCTGTCGAGTTCAAGGCTAGGGGGAGATGGGGGGTGTGGGTGAGAACCTCGAAATCGACCCACACGCTGATCCAGATACTCTCGTGACGCTTTGAAGACCCACTTATTGGCTCAGCGTTACGATCCGTCAGATTGGTGGGCGCTGGAGACTGGGCTTCTTGGTTACATTTTCCACAATTTGGATTGGAACTGAATCATAGTGTCAGTCTACACAGCATTGTAGGTAAAAGTAAGGTAAACGTAAAGGTTTTCCCTTGACATTGAGTCTAGTCGAGTCCAACTCTAGGGGTTGGCGATCATCTCCATTCCTAAGCCAAAGAGCCGGCGTTGTCCACAGACACCTCCAAGGTTATGTGGCCAGCATGACAGCATAGAACCCCGCTACCTTCCTGCCAAAGCAGTACCTATTGATCTACTCACATTTGCGTTGTTTTCGTACTGCTAGGTTGGCAGAAGCTGGGGCTAACAGCGGGAGCTCACCCTGCTCCCTGGATATTGTTAAGGCAGGCTAAATCTATGTAGCCGGCATGACTGCATGGAGCGCCGTTACCTTCCCACCAAAGCGATACCTATTGATCTACTCGCATTTGCATGTTTTCGAACTGCTAGGTTGACAGAAGCTGGGGCTAACAGCGGGAGCTCACCCCGCTCCCCAAATATTGTTAAGGCAGGCTAAATCCATGTAGTCGACATGACTGCATGGAGCGCCATTACCTTCCCGCCAAAGCGGTACCTATTGTTATACTCACATTTGCATGTTTTCGAACTGCTAGGTTGGCAGAAGCTGCGGCTAACAGCGGGAGCTCACCCCGCTCACCGGATATTGTTAAGGCAGGCTAAATCCATGTAGCCGACATGACTGCATAGAGCGCCATTACCTTCCCGCCAAAGCTGTACCTATTGATCCACCCACATTTGCATGTTTTCGAATTGCTAGGTTAGCAGAAGCTGGGGCTAACAGCGGGAGCTCCCCCTGCTCCCCGGATTCAAACCTGCAAGCTTTCAATCAGTAAGTTCAGCACCTCAGCGGTTTAACCCACTGCGCAATTGGGGGCTCCATATGGCATTTTAGACTAATATTATCATATTAGTCTACACTGCCATATAATCCAGTTCAAAGCTGGTATTTATTTATACCAGTACTGCCATCTGTTGAGGAGTGATGAAGGTGGAGGCATTACTTTTCATTCAATCTGCGTACTTGACCTTTTTTTTCCCAACAATAAACAATAAGAATAAAGACTAAAATCATCAACGATTACAAACATATGCCTTGCATTCGGAGAGCTTTAGTTTAACCATTTCAAAGCTCTCTGCTTGAGCGTTGATGGCATGACCGTCAGCGTAGATGAAACTCTTTATTGCTTCTGACAATCGCTGGTATTTTGTGTAAATATTAAACATTGATGGTGCAAGCTAGTTGCCCCTGTAATAGGCAGTAAGAGCATCTAAAGCTTTGGAGAGCTTCTGTTCAACTATTTCAAAGCTCTCTGCTTGAGCGTTGATGGCATGATCGTTAGCGTAGATGAAACTCTTTATTGCTTCTGACAATCRYTGGTCATTTGTGTAAATGTTAAACATTGATGGKKCAAGCTAGTTTYCCCTGTAATAGACAGTAAGAGCATCTAAAGCTTTGGAGAGCTTCAACTATTTCAAAACTCTCTGCTTGAGCGTTGATGGCATGATCATCAGCGTAGATGAAACTCTATGTCCTTAAGCTGAGGCGGCTAAAGTGAGATGTGTAAAACTAAGCTCCAACCAAGAATAATGACWAAAATCATAAACGATCACAAACATATGCCTTGCACCCCCTTCACTTGCATTCGGAGAGCTTCAGTTCAACCATTTCAAAGCTGTCTGCTTGAGCGTTGATGGCATGATCGTCAGCGTAGATGAAACTCTTTATTGCTTCTGACAATCGCTGGTCATTTGTGTAAATGTTAAACATTGATGGTGCAAGCTAGTTTTCCCTGTAATAGACAGTAAGAGCATCTAAAGCTTCGGAGAGCTTCTGTTCAACTATTTCAAAGCTCTCTGCTTGAGCGTTGATGGCAATATCGTCAGCGTAGATGAAACTCTTTATTGGTTCTGACAATCGCTGATAATTTATGTAAATGTGAAACATTGGTGGTGCAAGCTAGTTTCCCCTGTAATAGACAGTAAGAGCATGTAAAGCTTCTGTTCAATTGCTGGTCATTTGTGTAAATGTTAAACATTGGTGGTGCAAGCTAGTTTCCCCTGTAATAGGCAGTAAGAGCATCTAAAACTTCGGAGAGCTTCTGTTCAACTATTTCCAAGCTCTCTGCTTGAGCGTTGATGGCATGATTGTCAGCGTAGATGAAACTCTTTATTGCTTCTGACAATCGCTGGTAATTTGTGTAAATGTGAAACATTGGTGGTGCAAGCTAGTTTCCCCTGTAATAGGCAGTAAGAGCATCTAAAGCTTTGGAGAGCTTCTGTTCAACTATTTCAAAGCTCTCTGCTTGAGCGTTGATGGCATGATCGTCAGCGTAGATGAAACTCTCTGTCCCTAAGCTGAGGCTGGTCAAGTGACCAAAGTAACCACTTAGAATCCTCGAAACTCACCGGATGGGCTCAGGCTTAAGGTTGCGGTTGAGAGCCTGGACCAGGACGCTTTCGGAGAACGGCAGCTTTCCCCCGGACCGCTCGACGTCGATGTGGGCTGTATTGCAGAGGGCGTGGACTCCTGCGTCCGTCCGGCTGGAGATGACAAACTTGATGGGCACCAAAGGACGGAGCTTCTCCGCCGCTTTCTGAGAGAACATAAACAAAGGAGACTTTGATGGGAGAACGAAAGCATGGGAGGTTGCTAATCCCAGTCCAGCCTGGGAAATCCATTGGCAATCCCGCCAAAAGGACCCTGCGATTCACAGAGTGGGATGCGCAACCTCCTGACCCCATTCCTCAATGACCTCTCTGCGCGTCCTTCCCACAATTGCCCTCCAAAGCGGGCACATCTGTTGCTCGGATTGCTCCATCACCGCCTTCCCACCTCCCTTCGCCGACTAATCCCACCGATATCATGCAAGCCGAATGATGTGGAGGGGAGATTTCTCCATCGTGGTCAACGGAAATCGCACAGATCCGTCTGAACTCAATCTCAGTCAAATGCTTCTTGGGAGTCGTATTGTATTGTGTTTCTAGACTTCGATGAACCATAATAAGACGTGTCTTTAAGTACCAATACAAGCCTATATAGATTGCTGTGAGTCTTCCAGAAGCATTCTCTCCTGACATTTCGCCCACATTTACAGAAGGCATCCTCAGAGGATGTGGGGTCTGTTGGAAACTAGGCAATATCTGTGGAGTGTCCAAGGACATTTATGTATCTGTGAAATGATATCCATGGCGGGAGAAAGAACTCTCGTCTGTTGGAAGCCTTGCAGCTTCAATGGCTGGCTGATTGCTGCCTGGGGGAATCCTTTGTTAGGAGGTGTTAGCTGGCCCTGATTGGTTTCTGTCTGGAATTCCCCAGACATCATCTGTGGAATAATGTCCAGGGTGGGAGAAAGAACTCTTGTCTGTTGGAGGCCTTGCAGCTTCAATGCCTGGCTGATTGCTGCCTGGGGGAATCATTTGTTGGGAGGTGTTAGCTGCCCCTGATTGTTTTCTGTCTGGAATTCCCCAGACAGTGAGGTTTATATATTTGTGGAATGATGTCCACAGTGGGAGAAAGAACTCTTGTCTGTTGGAGGCCTTGTAGCTTCAATGCCTAGCTGATTGCTGCCTGGGGGAATCCTTTGTTGGGAGTGTTAGCTGGCCCTGATTGCTTTCTGTCTGGATTTTCCCAGACAGTGAGGTTTATATATCTTTGGAATCATGTCCACGGTGGGAGAAAGAACTCTTATCTGTTGGAGGCCTTGCAGCTTCAATGCCTAGCTGATTGCTGCCTGGGGGAATCCTTTGTTGAGAGGTGTTAGCTAGACCTAATAGTTTTCTGTCTGGAATTCCCTAGGCAGGTATATATATCTGGGGGATGAGGTCCAGGGTGGGAGAAAGAACTCTTGTCTGTTGGAGGCAAGTGTGAATGTTGCATTTGGCCTCAAGCAGACAAAGAGTTCTTTCTCCCAACAAAGGATTCCCCCAGGCAGCAACCAGCCAGGCTTTGAAGCTGCAAAGCCATTCAATGCTAATCAAGGTGGCCGTTTGTAACATTCACACTCGCCTCAAGCAGACAAAGAGTTCTTTCTCCCACCCCAGGCATTCCAACAAAGGATTCCCCCAGGCAGCAACACGACACTGCATTGGCTCTCGATTGTGAAGGGGGATTATATAGACTCCTGCATGTCTTGGAGAGCTCTTCTCGGCATCCAGGCCCTCTTTTCCCCTCCTTTGCTTTCTCCAAAGCCTCCTTGTGTCCTGGGCTCCTCTCCCGGTCCACTCCCTTTGCTGTTTGCTCTTGCCTGGGAAGAAATTCTTGGACTCCGAACAACAGTCCGTAGGCCAAGAAAAAGAGATCTGCATCGAAAAAAGATGTGTTCTGGGCAGCCTTTTGTCACCCGAAATAAGAAACACCCGGGTGACGAGGGAAGGGCTTGCAGAGAAACCCTGCAGCAGGAGGGTAGGAGGCAGTTGTGTGAGTCAGTTGTGCAATTGCTCCCGTTTGCCCACATCCTTGAATTGCTTTGCCCAGACTGTTATCCTATTACTAGCCATCCCCTGCCACGTGTTGCTGTGGCCCAGTCTGTGTATATGTGTTTTTGTGTGTGTATATATTTGTGTATATATGTGTGTTTGCGCGCGTGTGTATATATATATATATATATATATATAGAGAGAGAGAGAGAGAGAGAGAGGTGTATAGATATAGATGTGTGTGTATGTGTGTATGTGTATATGCATACATGTATGTGTGCATGTATATGTATATGTGTATAGATGTGTGTGTATATATTTGTGTATTTGTGTGTTTAGATATGTATATGTATATTGTGTATATGTGTGCACTCGTGTATATGCATATATGTGTATATGTATGTGTGCATGTATGTGTGTATATGTATATGTGTGTATAATTGTGTATTTGTGTGTTTAGATGTGTGTACATATATTGCATATGTGTGTGTGCATGTGTGTATATGTGCATGTATATGTGTGTATGAATATATACATACATATGTAAGTGTGCATGAATATGTATATGTGTGTATATGTGTATAGATGTGTGTGCATGTGTATGTGTGTGTATATATTTATGTATTTGTGTGTTTAGATGTGTATATGTGTGCTCGTGTATATCCATATATGCGTATATGTATTTGTGTGTATGTATATATGCATATATGGATGTGTGCATGTATATGTGTGTGTATATATTTATGTATTTGTGTGTTTAGATGTGTATACTATATTGTATATATGTGTTTGTTTGCATATATGCATATATACGTATATGTGTATATGCATATATGTATGTGTGCAGGTATATATATACGTGTGTACATGTGTATAGATGTGTATGTGTGTGTGTGTATATATTTGTGTATTTGTGTGTTTAGATGTGTATACATATATTGCGTATGTGTGTGTGCTCATGTATATGCATATATATGTATATGTGTATATGAATATATGCATATATGTAAGTGTGCATGTATATGTGTGTATATGTGTATAGATGTGTGTGCATGTGTATGTGTGTGTATATATTTACGTATTTGTGTGTTTAGATGTGAATATGTATATTATGTGCATGTGTATATGCATATATGTATGTGTACATGTATATGTGTATATTTGTGTCAGCAACTACAACTCCCAAATGTCAAGGTCTATTTTCCCCAAACTCCACCAGTATTCACATTTGGGCATACTGATTATTCGTGCCAAGTTTGGTCCAGATCCAGCATTGTTTGAGTCCATAGTGCTCTCTGGATGTAGGTGAACTACAACTCCCAAATTCAAGGTCAATGCTCACCAAACCCTTCCAGTATTTTCTGTTGGCCATGGGAGTCCTGTGTGCCAAGTTTGGTTCAATTCCATCATTGGTGGAGTTCAGAATGCTCTTGGATTGTAGGTGAACTATACATCCCAGCAACTATAACTCCCAAATGACAAAATCAATCCCACTAGTATTCAAACTTAGGCATATTGGGTATTTGTGGCAAATTTGGTCCAGTGAATGTAAATACATCTTGCATATCAGATATTTACATGATGATTCATTACGGTCGCGAAATAACAGTTGTGAAGTAGCAACGCAAATAATGTGATGGTTGAGGGTCACCACAACATCAGGAACTGTATTAAGGGGTTGCGGCATTCGGAAGGTGGAGAAACACAGATCCAGAGGAAGGCAGCTCCACCGCTATGTATTGCCCGCCTTCTCCCATATGCTTTGAACATGTGGCCCAGAGGAGGGGATGATTAACCCGCTGTGAGTCACGCCACTCTCTCTCGGGGAAAATAAGCCTTTGGCATGAGGACACGGTCCTTATACATTCAGGTTGGGAACTCTGCCACTGACGGTCCCAAGACGAAGCTCGTGCCTCTGATTCAAGACCAAATCCTGGCCGCAGCCGAAGGCCTCTTCTCTTTTCCACTTCTCCCTTGTCAACCAAGAGATTTGACCAGGGACCACTCTCCAATATTGATACCAAAAGAGTTACTAATCGGTTTTTGGTCAACTTTGGGGTGCTGTTTCAGAAAATTGCATTGGATAGACTACATCAGCTCTAGTTTCTGATACAGAACATATGCCATCCAGGAGTCACCATCGGCTTGCCCGCATAAAACCATATCTAGAGCTGATGTGGTAGTAGTAATTTTTTGTGGGTAGTCAGCCTTTCAGAATATTCAGAAAATTGTATTGGATAGACCACATCAGCTCTAGTTTCTGATACAGAACATATGCCATCCAGTAGTCGCCATCGGTGCACTCACAGAAAACCATATTTAATAATCTAGAGCCGATGTGGTAGTAGTAATCTTTCGTGGGAAGTCAGCCTTTCAGAAGATTCAGAAAATTGCATTGGATAGACCACATCAGCCAACTCAGAAAATTGCACTGGATAGACCACATCAGCTGATTCAGAAAATTGCATTGGATAGACCATGTCAGTTCATTCAGAAAATTGTATTGGATTGACCGCATCAGCTGATTAAGAAAATTGCACTAGATAGGCCACATCAGCTGATTCAGAAAATTTCATTGGATAGACCACGTCATCTGATTCAGAAAATTGCACTAGACTACATCAGCTGATTTAGAAATTTGCACTAGATAGACCACATCAGCTGACTCAGAAAATTGCATTGGATAGACCACATCAGCTGATTTAAAAAATTACACTAGACTACATCAGCTGATTCAGAGAATTGCACTAGATAGACCACATCAGCTGACTCGGAAAATTGCATTGGATTGACCACATCAGCTGAGTCAGAAAACTGCATTTGATAGACCACATCAGCTCTAGTTTCTGATACAGAACATATGCCATTCAGTAGTCGCCATCTGCTCACCTACAGAAAACCATGTATACACACAAGAAAAGTGAAAATTAGTCCACAGTTATATAAATCAGTTTCAATGCCTGGCTGCTCCCTACCTGGGGGCACCCTTTGTTGGGATGGTAATCAAACTGGCCAATGGCAACATTCACACTTGCCCTCAAGCAGACAAGAGTCCTTTTTCCCAACCTTGGACATCATTCCACAGATATATAAATCCCATTTTCCTAGTTTCCAACAGACCTCACAACCTCTGAGGATGCCTCCCATAGATGTGGGCGAAATGTCAGGAGAGAATGCTTCTGGAACATGGCCAGACAGCCCGGAAAAGTCACAGCAACCCATATTTTCGTTCTTGCAGACCACTGGTGGTCCACGGCACACAGGTTGGGAACCATGGATCTAAACCAACATAGAATGGATAATCCCTGGCCTGAGTACAGTCCCCGTGAAAAGGGATCTAGAGCACATAAACACGAGTCAAGGGCATGATGCAGCAGCTAAAAAGGCCAATGCGATTCTAGGATGCATCAATAGGAGGACAGTCATAACCCCAGCTAAACGTTAGGCAGAACCTCCAGATTGAAAAGGATGTTCAACAGCATAGTCTCCTTCTCTGGAGGTTGTGAAGCTGGGGCTGGATGCCCATCTGTTGGGATGCCTTTGGTTGTGTATTCCTGGCAGTATGGGGTTGGACTGGATGGCGCTTGGGGTTCTCATCTGACTCTTATGATTGGATCCCAATGCAATTTGAGATATTTTAAGACGTGGTACCTACCTCCAAGTAATTCTGCACGCCAAACTTTGCCCGATCAGGAGGCGTCTCTATCACGCCGCTGCAGAGAGGAAAGGGAATCATAGTTGTCATTATCATCTCTTTCTTAGACAGTGTTCTCATCTCTTTTTTAAGCTGTGTCTACACTGTAGACTTAATGCATTTTGGCACCACTTTCACCCACAAAATAGAATCCTGGGAAATGTATTTTTACGAGATCGGTATCTTGCTCTGCCAAGGAGGAGTTAAACTACAACTCCCAGGACTCCAAAACTACAACTCCCAAGATTCCATAGTGGAATTAAAGTGTGTTAATTCCACAGTGTGGATGCATGTAAAGCCCGGGAGAATAAATCTGTGCCAAAGAGGAGGAGTGCATCATTATACTACAACTCCCAGCAGCCAAAGTGGTATCAAACTGCGTTAATTCTACAGTGTGGATGCATCTCCGGCCTGGGAGGATAGATCTGTGCCAAAGAGGAGGAGTGCATCACTATACTACAACTCCCAGCAGCCAAAGTGGTATCAAAGTGTGTTAATTCCACAGTGTGGATGCATCTCCGGCCTGGGAGGATAGATGTGTGCCAAAGAGGAGGAGTGCATCACTATACTACAACTCCCAGCAACCAAAGTGATATCAAAGTGTGTTAATTCCACAGTGTGGATGCATCTCCGGCCTGGGAGGATAGATCTGTGCCAAAGAGGAGGAGTGCATCACTATACTACAACTCCCAGCAGCCAAAGTGGTATCAAAGTGTGTCAATTCCACAGTGTGGATGCATCTCAGGCCCATGAGGATAGATCTGTGTCAAAGCGGAAGAGTGCATCACTATACTACAACTCCCAGCAGCCAAAGTGGTATCAAACTGTGTTAATTCCACAGTGTGGATGCATCTCAGGCTTTTCCTTACCTATACATAGTTCCACAGTACTGGAAGGAGATTAAATACCGAGCCCTTTGAGAAAGCATCTTGCATTCAGCCCAAAATATTCAGATCTGGCCCCCTTGACCCTCTGTGACCAGCAAGGGCCAGTTTGCACCTCCTCTAGAGAGCCCTCTGTAGCTTTAAGGCACCAGGATTCCCATTCGCAGCATGAGCCTCCTCCATGCCTCTACCAACATGGCTCCCAGGGCTTCCCAGCTTGTCGTCGCGTCCTGATTGCGTCACCAGTGGGCGAGCCTGAGCCCCAAGGTGGGCGGGGCAGTTCTTTCAGCAGTGATCAACCTTAAAGGGACAGAGGGAAAATTCCCAAGCTGAAAAGGAAACGAATACAATAGAGGAAAGAGCTTCCTGATAGCAAGAGCTGTTCAAAAGCCTGCCTCCTTCTCTGGGGTTGTTAAAAGCAGAACCTGGATGGCCATCTGTTGGGAGGGTTTTGATAGTGGACTGGATGACCTTTGGGGATCACTTCCAACTTTGAGAAGGCTCAGTGACTCACAAGGAGGTCTTTCTGGAAGGTTTTTAAGCTGAGGCTGGATGGCCATCTGTTGGGAGGGTTTTGATAGTGGACTGGATGACCTTTGGGGATCCCTTCCAACTTTGGGAAGGCTCAGTGACTCACAAGGAGGTCTTTCTGTAAGGTTTTTTAAGCTGAGGCTGGATGGCCATCTGTTGGGAGGGTTTTGATAGTGGACTGGATGACCTTTGGGGCTCCCTTCCAACTTTGGGAAGGCTCAATGACTCACAAGGAGGTCTTTCTGGAAGGTTTTTAAGCTGAGGCTGGATGGCCATCTGTTGGGAGGGTTTTGATGGTGGTCTAGATGACCTTTGGGGCTCCTTTCCAACTCTGGGGAGGCTCAATAGTTTCGCATGACTCACAAGGACTCTCTATGTCTTTCTGGAGGGTTTTTAAGCTGAGGCGGGATGGCCATCTGTTGGGAGGGTTTTGATGGTGGACTAGATGACCTTTGGGGCTCCCTTCCAACTCAACAATTTCTTGTGACTCTCAAGGATATCCTAGGGCACCATCTAACATTAGCCCTTCTAGTTTCCTTTTATGGATATTAGATGGCCATCTGTTGGGAGGGTTTTGATAGTGGACCAGATGACCTTTGGGGCTCCCTTCCAACTTTGAGAAGGCTCAATGACTCACAAGGAGGTCTTTCTGTAAGGTTTTTTAAGCTGAGGCTGGATGGCCTTCTGTTGGGAGGGTTTTGATGGTGGTCTAGATGACCTTTGGGACTCCTTTCCAACTCTGGGGAGGCTCAATAGTTTCGCATGACTCACAAGGACTCCCTATGTCTTTCTGGAAGATTTTAAAGTTGTGGCTAGATGGCCTTCTGTTGGGAAGGTTTTGATGGTGGACTGGATGACCTTTGGGGGCCCCTTCCAACTGAACAATTCATTGTGACTCTCAAGGATATCCTAAGGCGCCCTCTAACATTGTGTTCTTAGACATTCTAGTCTCCTTCTGTGGATATTGGATGGCCATCTGTCGGGAGGTCTTTGATGGTGGACTAGATGACCTTTGGGGCTCCCTTCAAACTCTTGGAGGCTCAACAGTTTCCCATGACTCGAAAGGAGGTATTTCTGGAAGGTTTTAAAGCTGAGGCTGGATGGCCATCTGTTGGGAGAGTTTTGATGGTGGACTGCATGAGATTTGGGGCGGTTTGGGGCGGTTCAAACCTCTGGGGAGGTTTGACCTTCCAAGTCTGGGGAGGCTCAACAATTTCCCATGACTCACAAGAAGATCTTTCTGGAAGGCTTTTAAGCTGAGTCTGGATGGCCATCTGTTTGGAGGGTTTTGATGGTGGACTAGAAGACCTTTGGGGCTCCCTTCCAACTCTGGGGAGGCTCAACAGTTTCCTATGGCTCACAAAGACTGCCTAGGTCTTTCTGAAGGATTTTAAAGCTGAGGTTGAATGGCCATCTCTTGGGAGGGTTTTAATGGTGGATTGGATGACCTTTTGGGGCTCCCTTTCAACTCTGGGGAGGTGTGACAATTTCCCATGACTCACAAGGAGGGCTTTCTGGAGGGTTTTAAAGCTGGGGCTGGATGGCCATCTGTTGGGTGGGTTTTGATGGTGGACTAGATAACCTTTGGGGTTCCCTTCCAAGTCTGGGGATGTTCAACAGTTTCCCATGACTCACAAGAACACTCTAGCTCTTTCTGGAGGGTTTTAAAGCTGAGACTGGATGGCCATCTGTCGGCTGGGTTTTGATGGTGGACTAAATGACCTTTGGGGTTCCCTTCCAACTTTGGGGATGCTCAGCAGTTTCCCATGACTCACAAGGAGCTCTTTCTGGAAAGTTTTTAATCTGAGGCTGGATGCCCATCTGTCAGGTGGGTTTTGATGGTGGACTAGATGACATTTGGGCCTCCCTTCCAACTTTGGGGATGCTCAGCAGTTTCCCATGACTCACAAGGAGCTCTTTCTGGAAGGTTTTTAATCTGAGGCTGGATGGCCATCTGTCGGGTGGGTTTTGATGGTGGACTAGATGACATTTGGGGCTCCCTTCCAACTTTGGGGGTGCTCAACAGTTTCCCATGACTCACAAGAACACTCTTGCTCTTTCTGGAGGGTTTTAAAGCTGAGAGTGGATGGCCATCTGTTGGGTGGGTTTTCATGGCGGACTAGATTACCTTTGGGGTTCCCTTTCAAGTCGGGATTTTCAACAGTTTCCCATGACTCACAAGGACACTCTAGCTCTTTCTGGAGGGTTTTAAAGCTGAGACTGGATGGCCATCTGTTGGGAGGGTTTTGATTGTGCACTGGGTGACTTTAGGGCCTCTCTTCCACCTCTGGGAATGCTCCACCATGACCCACAAGGGCATTGTCTCCAATCGTGGCCTTTCCACAATCCTTATCCAGATGGCCATCTGTCAGGAGGGCTTTGAGGGTGGACTGGGCGACCTTTGAGGCTCTTTTCCAACTTTGGGATTCGAAAGCCACCGCTGCCAGGCTTCCAATGCATGGATGCAAAGCTGTGGAAAGTGCAGGCATGCCACAGTCTGGGGGATGAAGTGGGTTGGTGGCGCTATAACTCTTCTGTGTGGCAGGCAAGGGACCTGCCAGGTTTGGAATTGGGAGACGCTCCCCGAGCCTTTCTGACAGCTGCTGCTGAGACCAGCCTCCCTCCCTGGCTCCCCCTTCTCCATCTGAGGCCAGCCTTGCAGGCGACTGCATCCTCCCTGGCTGCATCCTCCTCCTCGCCCTCCCTCCCTCCCTGCACACACATCTCTCCTTGCCCCCTGTCTCGGCTCCTTTCTCCGAGAGGATGACCCTTCCAGGGCTGTGAGGGCTTCCGCGGCTCCGGATCCGGTGCCAAGATGACCGTGGAATTCGAGGAGTGCATCAAGGACTCGCCCCGATTCCGGTAAGAAGAGTTCCTTGCATGCCGACAATCCGGTTCTGAGCCGGTTCCAGACCAGTCCATTCCAATACGTGTTTGATCCGGTTCCGATCCACTATTGATGTGGTTCCGAACCAGTTCCAATACGTGTTTGATCCGGTTCCGATCCACTATTGGTGTGGTTCCGAACCAGTTCCAATATGTGTTTGATCCGCTTCCAATACACTATTGATGTGGTTCCGAACCGGTTCTGATCCGGTTCCAATATGTGTTTGGTTCAGTTCCAATTCGCTTTTGATCCGGTTCTGATCCGATTCCAATATGTGTTGATCTGGTTCCAACCCACTATTGATGTGGTTCTGAACTGGTTCTTTTCTGGTTCTGATCTGGATCCAATATGTGTTTGATCTGGTTCCAGTTCACTTTTGATCTGGTTCTGATCCAGATCCAATATGTGTTTGATTTGGTTCCAATTCAATTTTGATCCGGTTCTAATTTGATTCCAATATGTGTTTGATCCCATTCCAATCCACTATTGATGTGCTTCCGATCTGGTTCTGTTCTGCTTTTGATTTGGTTTCGATCCACATTTGTTCCTGTTCCAATACATGTTTGATCCAGTTCCTACCCACTATTGATGTGGATCCAGTCTGGTTTTGATCTGGTTCTGTTCCGCTTTTCATCTGGTTTCGATCCACGTTTTTTCCTGTTCCAATACGTGTTTGATCCAGTTCCTACCCACTATCGATGTGGATCCAGTCCGATTTTGATCCAGTTCCAATCCACTATTGATGTGGTTCCGATCCAGTTTCGTTCCGCTTTTGATCTGGTTCCGATCCACGTTTGATCACGTTCCAATACGTGTTTGATAGTGTTCCAATCTACTATTGATGTGGTTCCGGTCTGGTTTTGATCGGGTTTCGGTACGTGTTTGATCTGGTTCCAATTGAGTATAGATGTGGTTCTGTTCCGCTTTTGATCTGGTTCTGATCCAGGTTTGATGTGATTCCAATTCGCTTTTGATCTGGCCCTGGTCGGCTTTTGATGTGGTTCCACTCTGCTTTCAAGCGTTTGATCCGGTTCCGATCCATTTTTGATTGGGTTCCAATTTGTTTTGGATGCGTTTCAGACTCGCTTTGGATCTGGTTCAGACTCGCTTTTGATCCGGTTCCATTCCGATCAGGTTCGGATCTGCGTTCTCTCTGGTTTTGCTCTGGTTCCGATCCAATTTGGCTCCCACACCAGAAAGACCCCACCCCAGTTCCTCCAAAAACCCAACATAGAGGGAATTGGAGCGAATCCGGATTTTGGGGGCTTCACTTTGTGCCGGGAACGATTCCTTCCCAGCTTGGCACATCTAATCTGGATCTCCCCATAGAAGACCTCATACGGCAGTGTAGATCCAGCCTAAGGCCTCTTTCCGGACACGGATCCTGCTCCTCTGGGTTCCCATTTTCCGCCTTATTGTCTCTGTTGCCTCGGTGGCGTGTCTACACTGCCATGGACTAGTGATATAGAGACAGGAAACCCATCTTTGTAAACGGAGGGGACGATAGAGCCTGGTCCAGCCCTGAAAATGCAGAGGGTCAGGATCACAGCAGTGCCGGCGAGCCAATGTGGGTCTGTCTTAGGCCTTGGGCTCTGCATTGTATGGGTCTACACACTGACCCCTACGTTGTGGGTCCAGACAGTGCAGACGAGGCCTTCGTTTCCTTGGCTTTTCCGAACACGAGACAGATTCGTCAAGCAGGGAACGAAAAAAAGCCTCCCTGTCTCCATCCGAGCCCCATTTTGGAAACTATAGTTTCCCCCTTTCGTCGCAGCATCTGCCCCCTTTCCAAGGCATCGAGGTCCCCCTTCTTGCCTTACAAAAGCCTCTGTTTCTAATCGTACTGGAGCGGGAAAAAGGCGGAGGGAACGCCAAAGATGGAGGAAGAAGGTGTGGGATGGCCGGGATTGGGTTTATGGGATTTGGAGGCTTTTTAAAGGCCGGGATCAAGGACCCCCTCCCCTCGCTCCCCACTCCATTTTCTGCAGTGGGGATGCTTCAATGTCAATCAATCAACGCGCCGGCTTTCTACATATATACGAAAAAGGGACTCCCATTTTTATTTGAGCTGCGATCTCTGCTGTATTGATATTCCGAGTCGTCGTTCACCGTGTAGCGTACCGACCTTATATTCCTTTCCGGAAATAATACATATACACACATAACGCGTGTCTTGGTGCATTGTTGGGTGTGCCTCGGTGAGCCTGTCTGCGGCCATTCATCCGAACGGAGGAGAAGAAGAAGAAGAAAGGAATGGGTGTTGTCCAGATCTATATGTGTATGTGTGTCGGGAAGGCGATGAGCCCCAAGTGTGTGTTTGCGGGATGTAAAGAAGGAAGAACAGATGGAACGGAGGAGGGACAAAAAGCGACCCACACGTCGTCGTCAATGAGTAAGGGGCCCTCGCCTCTCTTGTGTGTGCGAGGAAAGCTCTGTCTCTGGTCACATCAAGGTCGTTCGCGGCCTTCTGGATTCACATCTGCCGCAGGGACCACCCCCTTGGCACTGTCTGGAGATGGAATAGGAACACAGACTCGAGGGAGACCCCCAAGGGCCATCCAGTCCAACCCCATCCTGCCATAAAGGAAGACAACATCAAAAGCCTTCCCATCTAATCTCCGTTGGAAGGACATCAAAGATGGAGTGCTATCCCAGTTGAAAGGACACTCTCAGTTGAAAGGACACCTGAGATGGAGAGGTATCCCAGTTGGAAGGACACTCTCAGTTGAAAGGACACCTGAGATGGAGAGGTATCCCAGTTGGAAGGACACAAAATCTCCATTGAAAGGACACCAAAGATGGAGAGGTATCCCAGTTGGAAGGACACAAAATCTCCATTAAAAGGACACCACAGATGGAGAGGTACCCCAGATGGAAGGGCACCCCAAGGGCCATCCAGTCCAACCCTATTCTGCCATAAAGGAAGACAACATCAAAACCTTTCCCATCTAACCTCGGTTAGAAGGACACCAAAGATGGAGAGCTATCCTAGTTGAAAGGACACTAAGTCTCTGTTGAAAGGACACCTGAAATGGAGAGGTGTCCCAGTTGGAAGGACACCAAATCTCAGTTGAAAGGACACCAAAGATGGAGAGGTATCCCAGTTGGAGGGACTTCAAATCTCATCTGAAAGGACACCAAAGATGGAGAGGTATCTCATTTGGAAGGACACAAAATTTCCATTGAAAGGACACCAAAGATGGAGAGGTACCCCAGTTGGAAGGGCACCCCATGGGCCATCCAGTCCAACCCCATTCTGCCATAAAGGAAGACAACATCAAAAGCCTTCCCATCTAATCTCCGTTGGAAGGACACCAAAGATGGAGAGCTATCCCAGTTGAAAGGACACTAAGTCTCTGTTGAAAGACACCTGAGATGGAGAGGTATCCCAGTTGGAAGGACACAAAATTTCCATTTGAAGGACACCAAAGATGGAGAGGTATCCTAGTTGGAAGGACACAAAATCTCCATTGAAAGGACACCAAAAATGGAGAGCTATCCTAGTTGGAAGGTGACCCCAAGGGCCATCCAGTCCAACCCCATTCTGCCATACAGGAAGACAACATCAAAAGCTTTCCCATCTAACCTCGGTTAGAAGGACACCAAAGATGGAGAGCTATCCTAGTTGAAAGGACACAAAGTCTCTGTTGAAAGGACACCTGAGATGGAGATGCATCCCAGTTGGAAGGATACCAAATCTCAGTTGAAAGGACACCAAAGATGGAGAGGTATCCTAGTTGGAAGGGCACCCCAAGGGCCATCCAGTCCAACCCCATTCTGCCATAGACAACATCAAAAGCCTTCCCATTTAACCTCCGTTGGAAAGGACATCAAAGATGGAAAGCTATCCTAATTTAAAGGACACTAAGTCTCCTTTGAAAGGACACCTGAGATGGAGAAGTGTCCCAGTTGGAAGGGAACCCCACAGGCCATCCAGTCCAACCCCAATCTGCCATGAAGGAAGACACCATCAATGCCTCCCCAGAAGGTGGCCATCTAATCTCCATGGGAAGACCATCAAAGATGGAGAGGTATCCCAGTTGGAAGGACACCAAAGATGGAGAGGTATCCCAGTTGGAAGGGGACTAAATCTCTATTGAAGGGGCACCAAAGATGGAGAGGTATCCCAGTTGGAAGGGAATCCCAAAGACCATCTAGTCCAATCCCATTCTACCATGAAGGAAGACACCATCAAAGCCTTCCCAGAAGGTGGCCATCTAATCGTGGGAAGGCCATCAATGGAGAGGTATCCCAGTTAGAAGTACACCAAATATCAGTTGAAAGTACACCAAAGATGGTGTACTTTCCAATTGAAAGGACACCAAAGATGGAGAGGTATCCCAGTTGGAAGATCCCAAAGGCCATCCAGTCCAACCCCATTCAGCCATAAAGGAAGACACCATCAAAGCCGTCGCAAAAGGTCACCATCTAACCTCTGTTGGAAGGACATCAAAGATGGAGAGATATCTCAGTTGAAAGGACACCAAATTTCCATTGAAAGGGCACGAAAGATGGATAGGTATTCCAGTTGCAAGGGGACCCCAAAGGCCATCCAGTCTAACCCCATTCTGCCATAAAGGAAGACCCCATCAAAGCCTTCCCAAAAGGTGCCCATCTAACCTCCGTTAAAAGGACACCAAAGACGAAGGGGTATCCCAGTTGGAAGGACACCAGATCTCAGTTGAAAGGACACTGAAGATGGAGAGGTATCCCAGTTGGAAGGTGACCCCAAAGGCCATCCGGTCCAACCCCATTCTGCCATTAGGAAGACACCATCAAAGCCTTCCCAAAAGGTGCCTATCTAATCTCAGTTGGAAGGACACCAAAGATGGAGAGGTATCTCAGTTGAAAGGATCTCGGATCTCAGTTGAAAGGACACCAGGGATGGAGAGGTATCCCAGTTGGAAGGGGCCCCCAAAGACCATCCAGTCTGCCATCAAAGCACTTCTGATGTGGTCTATCCAATGCAATTTTC